CAATAAAACAGAACAAGCAGCCATGAAAGGAACCTAAAGAGAGACAGATGGACAGTTGTCCAACTTTCACAGAGCTCAGGTACATGAAATTTTAAGTGTTCCTTGGCATAGCATATCAGCTTCATTCTTGTTGGAAATCACCCTTGCCTGAAGGTGACCAGCTCTCTACTCCTAGGACAGAGTTAAGCAGAGGCATCTAAAGTGACTCCTTGACAGTGGGGTCCACCCTCATCTCCCTATTTTAATGAAACATGATATCTGCTTCCACAGTCGTTGGTGAAACTAAAGAAGTTGTGAGGTCCTTTCAATGCCCTTCATCTCTAAGGACTTCCTGAAGCATCCTGGGAAAGAGATACCCATTCACTGCACATGGTACATGCAATTTATCGGAGGGGTTAAGTTGGCTTCATTGCCCAACCCACAGGGAAAGACATGCACTTGGTGGATCCAAGATTTGGCCTTGAAATTTGGTTCCAACATTAACAGGCTGTGTAAGCTCCTGACTTTCTCTAAGCCTCATGTTTTCATCTATAAAATGGGGCTGCTGCTCATGGCCTGGGATCAAAATTGGGAGACTATTATAAAAAATTAAGAATGACATACATTATGTGCTTAGTGGATGATCCAGGAAGTGCTTGATACATGGCAGTGTTTTTGTTACTTATTTAAACTCCCTCTTTTCTTATACGTTCCCTGATTTCTAAGCTTACAGAGACTCCATGATACTTGAGTTAAGTCAGAATGCAAAGACAAGAATGTGCACACATAGAAGCTGCTTTAAATTCATCTCTCTCCTGAAAGCATGAACCATTTGTTCCCCAGGATAGAAGGTTTTGGAGAACACAGTTTCTGAAAAGTGGCCACATCTTTCCCTCTGAATTGTGAACGGCAACAAATGGTCAGACCAATAGCAAGAACTTCATGCTGCAGAACAGCGGGCACCAAACAAGGAGATACCGGTTTTTTGCCTGCAAATGGCTTGGAGACCAGGAAAAAAATCTGACTATACATCACCTGCTAGAGTTGAAAGGGCCTTGGAGATGATCTTATTTCATCCCTTTATAGTACAACTTTTCTTTATCATTTATACTCTCCTTCATCCTTAAAATACTTGAATATGATCGTTAAAGAAGACTATTCTTCAAATAAAAATAGTTTATAGTTGATGGGAGAGAAACTTGAACAGGTTAAATAGCCATACATTTATATGTGGGAAGGGGGACATCTGTATTATAGGAAAAGAGTGGTTAAATAGGCAGAGTTCAGGTTCTAATCGAGGAGGACAGGTGACTAGGGAATTAGAAGTAAATGGACAGAAGTGTAGGGAGTGGGTGTAACATCAGTAGCCACAGTGGAAATTGCTCTCACATCCCTTTAAGGTGGAACGTTCTTGAGCCTTTATAATACAGGATGCTAAAAGAACCCTGTTACAGGGCAGGAGAATCTAAATGTGTACAGATTATGAAAGAAACACCAGCAAATCCTAGAGTTCAAGGACAGGACCCTCTTTATGGAGCCATTTCCCAAAATGTTTGTTCCCTTTGCATTCTAGATTAGCCGGCTTTTTCACCCAAGCATGTGTTTTGTTAGTAATTGTGACTTTATAGAATTTGGCTACTTCCCTAGTTAACCTCAGGGCATGAATAAAACTCTAAGTTTATTTTTAGCCAAGAGAGAGTCTGTGTGCAACTTTTAAGACCTTACCCTTGTTCCCTGGTCTTCTAAACCATAAGCTGTAACAAAGACAGCTCCCTATTCAAGGGCCAACTAACTGACTGCATAGTAACAGTGGCTGCTTTCAATAATTTTAATCTGAGTGGTTTTCATGTGCTTTGTAGCAAAAACTAATAAAACAATGCGTTAGACAGGATTCAAAGGAAGCCAACATTCAAGTTTCCAGCCTGAACTTTCTGTACCTTGTTCTCTGTCTACCCCTTCTCCAGCCACCTTCAAGGTGCAGTTACTCAGCACCCTAAGGCCCTCAGAAAAAAAACTGTCATCCATTATATACCCCCCCTTTTTGAATTGCAAACCCTCTTCTTCTAAAGGTTGAATCATATGAAACTACCAAGGTTTGACCAATTTTGATTTAGAAAAATAGCAATTGCCTTATGGTTTAACCTGGTAGTGAAAGCATCGTGTGCTTTATTAGTAATCATGAAATGAAAAGAACAGCCTTGTATTTAGAGGTACGGGGAGCCCTAGATATGATATAGCCCAACTCATGCAGGGTACAGGCTGAGCCACTGAGGCTCTGATTGGGGGAAGAAATTAGAAGAGCTAACATCACCAGTTTGAGACAGAGCCTGATTAGATCTAGAATGATCTGATTCCTATTTCAATGCTCTTACCTTCATAACAGGGGTCAGCAAACTTTTTCTGGAAAGAGCAATACAGTCAAGATTTTAGAATTTGTGGGCTCTAAACATTGTAGCACGAAAGAAGCCACAGACAATATATCAACATTATTAAACAAATGACTGTGGCTGTGCTCCAATAAAACTTTATTAACAAAAACATGCTGGGCTTGATTTGACTACAGTTGTGTAGTTTTCCAAGCTGCGAAGAGAAGAGTGATGGATCTACATACTGAGAACCTGTTGAATTGGTCAGGGGTGCTAAGCCAGCATAAAGATCTCACCTACCATTAACTATGCTCTGCATTTTTCTTAAAATCAGTAGCCAAAGAATCCTAAAGTATCTGGGATTTGCTGTGAGCACCTAGGGCAGTGGTTCTCAACCTCTGACCCTTTAAATACAGTTCCTCATGTTGTGACCCAACCATAAAATTGTTTTCGTTGCTACTTCATAACTGTAATGTTGCTACTGTTATGAATCGTAATGTAAATATCTGATACGCAGGATGGTCTTAGGCGACCCCTGTGAAAGGGTCGTTCGACTGCCAAAGGGGTCGCGACCCACAGGTTGAGAACCAATGACCTAGGGGCTGTAGCTACCTAAGACTTTGCTATCTGTAAGATCAGATTACCCAGAAGCGGAATAATACTTCTGTCTTATTTAACTCTTGGCTACATGTACAAAATACACTTCTGATCTTAGGAAAGAAATGCGTTAGACATGTTGTCCATCGGGTTGGCTGAGTTATGGAATTAGATAGAGTCACTTGGGTGAAATTGTAATGGCTTTAACAATCATTTACACAGACCCCCACCCCCTTTATGCGTTAGCCGAGAGCAACTTCATTGTATCATTTGCATTGGGTGAACAATATTTTGAATACAGGAACTATCTCCATCTCTCCTGATAGCAAATAAGCTACTTTGGCTACGTCTACTCTCAATTTGAACTTGAGAAGCATGGGAGAATGTTATTAATCATTTCAAAAAAAATTATAGGTCACATGCTCTGGTCAGAAATACAGAAGAGAAGAATTCTAATCCGGTCATTCCAAGAAGGAAAGTAAGTCTATATATATCAGGCATGATAACACTGTGATTACCATCGACATCTCTGCAGTGAAAATCTGTCCATCCATCTGCTCATCTGTCCATCATGCACCCGACATGCAGACATCCAAATATCTATCCCCTACTATTGTACCAGGAGCTAAGGGATCCTGGTTAGATGAGGTATCCCCCTGCTCCCAGTGAGCTAAAAATGTAGTGGGAGAGAGAAGATAAAGTACAGATATCACAATAAAGATGAAAATAAGGCAGTACTTCAAAATAAAAATGTCTAAGTACCAAGCAAAAATTTGGAGGAATTCTTTAAAAAGCAGCAAAATGCAAAATAATCACCAGGAAGAGCTCTGAAGTGCTCCTGTCGAGCTATCAACCAGGAAGAACCTGGAGTATGTGCTGTGATGCCCGGTGCAGCACATGGACTCAATACGCCTTTTTACCTCCAGATGTCAAACCAGGCAACCCAAGTCTAAGAGGTGGGATTGTTCACTGGCTCTCATAGTTTGTCCTTAAACAGGCAAAACTTTTCTTTTTAAATCACATGACATAGGTGCTTTCTATGAATAAGTCATATCAGTGTGAAGCATTCTAACTCTACTTTTGTTCTATAGTACTTTGCATCCCACATTTTAGAGAAGATTGGAAGAAAGAAATAGCTGAGTAGAGTCAAATGGTCAAGGGCATTGAAAAAGCTTATGTGATATGAATTGGTAGCAAAGGTCCCTGGGAAGTTGAGAACAACTATGCATGTTATCAGTACTTGGGAAATCAGTAAGATAGTCAAAGGGAACTTTATAACCAAAATCGATGTTCAATCCACAATTATCATTAATGATTTTTATGGCACCAACTACTAATTCACTGTTCACATCATTAAGTGTCTAATTTCTTCAGGTATATTGGCCGCATATGCTGATTATCTTTTATAAAATCTAACAGAATATCAGTGTTTACATTTTATAAAATCTAGCAAAATATCAGTGTGGTTTTGAATGACCCAAATTCTAAAATTCACCATTTATCTGTTTCATATTTCTGCCAATTGCACTAAAGGTACAATTCTAGACCAAGAGAAACCAACATCCAATGGAATAAAAACCCCCTCTGGATATGAACCATCCTGTTTTCTCAGGTCTGTTAAGCCAATCAACAAAGAGATAAGAGAGGAGATTCCAGTGGTACTTACTTGCAGGTGATGGGGTGCTGCATCCACTTGGAGGAGGGTGCCCATGAAGGCCATGAAGAGGAGGCAGGGAAAGTCCTCCGATGACAGGCGGAAAGAGTAATGGGTAGGGCGCGGCTGGATAGTGAGTCATGTGTCCATTCACTGCCGGGACGGGGCATGCGTGGCTACTGGTGGTCATGTTTCAGGCCTCACAAAATGGAAGGTGTTCTGGGGTGGGAACACATCACTCAGGGTCTTGAACCAAAGTTGTAGAGGTAAATTCAGGGCAACACTTGAGTCTGAGCTGTGTTCTGGACCAAAGGCAAGACAGTTCAGCAGATGACCTTGGGTCTTCCCAGCATGGTTTATCCACCTCTCATTTTGCTATGCTGATTATGGATATCTTTTTTTCCCTTTCAGTTTGAGGCTGGGAAATGCTATCACTCTAAAAGTCCAGAGATGCTAATCCTGTAAGAAAAAATATATGTATGTATGTATGTCACAAGTCAAAAATATTCTCCTCTTAATCAAGTTATGAAAAATCTCTAATATTAACCTGTCTCTTAATTCCCAGTTGTTCCCCTACACTCACTACTTTAATTTTCTTAAATGTTCACATTCTAATATAGAATGAAACTTACATGCAATTTCAAAATAACTATCTGATATTAAATATCAATCTCCACCCACCATCATTTCTATAGTCCTCACCCTGTTTAATTTTTCTCCATGGCACTTAACTTGATCCATTACACAGTGGGAGTGTTTGTTTTTGTCTGTCTCCCCTATTAGAATGTACTCACCAGGAGGGCAAAGTTTTTCTGTTTTGTTAACAGCTCTAGTTTAAGCTCCTATACTAGTACCAGACAGGCAGATGCTCAAGAAATATTGGTTGAATAAATGAATGAATACATGATTTTTTTGCTTCTTTTAAAAACAATTTGATTAATCTTGTCCTAACCTTTATGCTTCCAAGATTTTACATATCTCATATGAAGAACTTTGGATTTTAATGCAGCCATTAGGAATGATACACCCAACAAGATAAACAGAATTGTGGGAGAAAACTATAATCTAATAAAAGGTAAGTAAGATATAGTCATCAAAGATCAGAGAAATATTTTATATCAATGCTTATTGTCAACAGTATACACTTTTATAAGAATACCGTCTACTCATCCATCTCTCCAGCAATTTATTCTTACCACCATCATTCATTTGTCCACCCATTCAATCATTCATCAGTCAGTCAAATCCTAACTTACAATTATGTGCCAGGTGCTGGTGTAGGTACTAGAACATACAGAGTGGAACAACAATAATGTGTCTTCTGCTCTCATGGAATTTCTAGTTTTAACAGCTCCCATTGAGGTCATATTGTTGAGGAGGACAAAGCTGCCCTGTCCCCTACAAAGGGCATTTTCAGGATGCTCAGCACTGAGAATTCCTCAAGACAGGGAATAGAAGAAAACTGAAATAGATTCTAGAGTGGGCTGGCTATGCACGTCAGAGGTTTACCTTGGCCCTGATGACCAATATTCAGTAAAAGTCAAAATTCTGCAGCTCACTGAACAGCAAGCCCTGGGTGTAAGCCCACGTTGCACAAAGCAGGAACAGTATTTCAAGATCAGCATAAAGGCCAACTGTTAAGAGCCTGATTCTAGAGCCAGACTGCTTAAGTTTAAATCATGGCTCCACCCCTTTGACAATTACCTCTCAATATGTTGTGTGTGTGTGTTTAATTTTAATTGGGGTAATAATACAATTTACTTCAGAGGGGTGTTGTGAGGATTAAATGAGGTAATATCAAGAACACTAATTAACACTAATTAAAGTAGTGAGTGTAGGGGAACAACTGGGAATTAAGAGACAGTATCTGATGCACAGTAAAGACTAGGTAGATCAGTGGTTCTCAACCTTCCTAATGCCGCGACCCTTTAATACAGTTCCTCATGTTGTGGTGACCCCCAACCATAAAATTATTTTCATTGCTACTTCATAACTGTAATTTTGCTACTGTTATTAATTGTAATGTAAATATCTGATATACAGGATGTATTTTCACTGTTACAAATTGAACATAATTAAAGCATAGTGATTAATCACAAAAACAATATGTAATTATATATGTGTTTTCCAATGGTCTTAGGCGACCCCTGTGAAAGGGTCATTCGACCCCCAAAGGGGTCTCGACCCACAGGTTGAGAACCGCTGAGGTAGATAGTAAACAGTTGGCAAAAGTTTGCTACAAATACGTGTATTGTCCCATCAGATGACATGCTCCTGAGAACAAGCTTGCAGGAATGGACAAGAGGCTTTGGGGTTAGGGCAGGGGGAGAACACATCACAAAAGTCCATGGGAAAGAGCATTAGGACTAAAACATTTGTCATGGAAGTGAAGAAGAGGTGGGATTTAGGTAAATTTAAGAACAAAGACTCGAGAGCTTACCGATTCCTCAGTTTGTGAAGTTAGCGTTTGGTTATTACTAATCCTAAAATGTTCCAATACGTCACAACTTCCATTTATTTGTTTACTGTGTGTCAGGCACTTCACTTATGAGCTGTGTAGATCTAAGAATAGTCCCATAAGGCAGGCATTATAATCTCTATTTTTCAGAGGAAAAAAACTAAGTCTTAGTGAATTGAAATGACTCGTCCCTAACACCACAAAGTCAGCCTGAGGCTAAGCCAGAATTTGCACCTAGATCTGGTTGGTTGTACTATTTATACTGAGCGCATGCGTGGTCCTGGTTGTGTCCCACAGAGGAAAAAGTCCATGAGCAGTTGTGATGGGAGCAGCTGTCCTCACTTAGATGACATTCTCGGCAGGGCCTTGGATCCCTGGCCTATTAATATTAAAAATGAGCATCTTCAACAGTCAGACCATATGGTCCCAGGCTCCCTGCATCTCCACGAAACCTTACAAAGGAGACTACATCCCTGGTTGGCTTATGTAACACACAAAAGGGATGTCCCACCCCAAATATCAATGTCCTTTTCAAACTTTCAAACCACGACTTGTTTCTCGAATGAAAAGAAAGCAAATGGACTATGAGAGGTAAATGTTTCCATTGCTTTCTCTTCTAAAAATCACACACCAGCTAACATATTTAGCACTTGAATTTTGCAGTTTGCAGCAAATTAATTAGAAAATAAACAATACCATTTAGTGTTTGCTGCATTTCCACTCAATTTGATTTTTAAATCACACACACAAAGCCCAGCATTGTTATCAGTGGTCTTTTCTATCTCCATTAGACAAACTGCCTCATTAACTGGTGGAGCTGACAGTTCAGCAAACCCACCCCCGCAGGGCACAATTCTTAGATTTTTAAAGCTGTTTGTTTGTTTGTTTTTACCAATCAGGGACTATTTCTCCCCTCAATATCCTTTATTTCTCTTTGCTTTCAAACACTTCAGATTTTTGGCATCCTGCCTGCCTGGTTAAAAGGTCTGCTATCATGCCTAGGATCTTAAAAAAAAAAAAAAGACTGATACTGATAATAGGCAAAAGAAAAAAAAATCAATGTGTCGGGAAAATCCTGTTATGTTGGTGGAAAACTGTCTGAACGGTCAGTGGGTCTGTGTTCACATATGTGACTGATTAAGGCTATTCCTGGAAGCAGAGAGTTTTCTTTGTTCACTGGTATTAGCAGTGGTTCCCCCCGCCCTTCATGTCTAATTTGAGTTTGGGCTCATTCAGGGTTCTTTTCTTCACCCCCTGAGGCAAAGCAAACAGGAGCTGGGGTGCAGGAGGGGAAGGAAGTGGGGACTGGGTCAGGAGGTCTTGGATCGACCACCATCATTCCCTGGGTGTCAGTTTCTTCATCTGTGAGAGGGGTCAAGAGAAGAGGAGTAGGTTTCAAATCAAGTTCCTTAAACTGTGTTGTTCAGAACACAGGTGTCTCACAAGAAGATACTCAATTTTTAAAAATGCTGAAAAAATCTTTTAGAGCAGGAAACAGAAAAGATTTTTCAATAACTGTTTGCATAGATGGTGTTGTTCTAGTCAGGAATCTGCCTTTGATAAACGATGGAATGACAGGACGGGGAGTGATAGGTCTGCCCACCAACCGCTTGGATGAAACGTGCCAGTGCGGAGGCAGAGGCCACAGAAATCGTTAACATCTATGCTTGTATCTGTGAGATCGGATTATAGATAAAACACAGTATATTTTCTCCAGTTTAACTTGTTAAGGTTCTTGTTCCAATATAAGGTTTAAAAACTTACATTTTAATCATTTCGTGTCACATTTAATTCACTGGAGGCTGTTTATAGCTTAAATTTTCATGCAAGCTTCCAAGCTTATACTGCTAAATATTGATTTTATAAACTTGATACTTACATATGATTTTTTTAAAAAGGCCAAATAGTTCCTTTAGACCAGTGGTTCTCCAAGCAGAGTCCCTGGTCCACCAGCAACAGCATCATCTGGACACTTGTTAGAAATGCAGATTCTTCAAGCCCCACCCGAGATCTGCAGAATCAGAAATTCTAGGTGAGCCCAGCAATCTGTTCTAACAAGCCTCCAGATGGTTCTGATTCAGCTAAAAGTAGAGAAGCACTGCTCTAGGCACAAGATTGGCAAATTTCTTCTACAAAGAAAGGAAATATTTTAGATGGCAGGCCGTACAGTCTCTGTCACAACCACTCAACTCTGCTTTTGCACCAACTTCTTAGGGCAGAAAAGCAACCCCAGCCAGTCCATGAATGTGCAGGCATGGCTGCATTCCAATAAAACATTATTTACAGAACCGGCAGCCTGCCAGATTTCGCCCATGGACCACGGCTTCCTGACCCTGCTTTGGATTCATAAAGAAAAACAATAATTTACCTTCCCCATCCTGAAGCTCTCCTCCCTACGAGAAACTACTCGAAAATATTTTAGCTATTGGTTTTTTTTCTGTTATTTATATTTATAGGTCATATACTTAGACAAGGTTTTGCATAATTTTGTCACCAACTACCTGTTGGCTTTTACTGTAAATGTGATTTAGCTCTTTTAGGCTATTGCCCACAGAAATAAAACTCTTCCTCCTGTCTCACGCCCAACAGAACTTCATCACAACTTGAAAAAATAAAAATCATTCAATCATCTATATTATTATGCTTACATAACTATGACTAGGTAAATATTGTTACAGCTGAGCCACATGATGCACTCTATTTACAGTTCTTTTCTTACAAAACTTTTGGGTTTTCCTGGAGTTAATAATTGCTTTGTTTATACAGTTTAATTGTTTTTGTATCTATGAATAATTCTTTCCCAACTCTCTGAAAATTTTGCCAGACATGTCATATGATATATGAGTTCTACAATTGGGGACATTCCTCCCACCCCAGGGCTGACTGGCTGCTTTCCTAGTCTCATGCATAGCTGTCAAAGTAGAACTTTCTATTATTGTTTTTCTGGGGTTTTTTGGAACTCTTTTGTAGATCTCAGGTCTTCCATTTTCTTGGTTTACTT